CAAAGCATGGAGTAACGTTAGGTATTTGCAGCCTCCGTGAAGGAACGACCCTTTTAGAACTGAGGTGAGGAGGAATTTCTTCAGACAGGTTGGTGAATCTGTGGAACTCGCTGCCACAGAAGGCTGTGGAAACCAAGTTGTTGAGTATATTTAAGACAGGTGGGTTCTTGATGATTATTAAGGGGGTCTAGGGTTATAGGGAGAAGGCAGGAGCATGGCTTTGAGAACCATAATCTGCCATGATCAAATGGCGAAGCAGACCTGGAGTAGAATTAGGCCATTCAGTCCGATATCTTATGGTGATCGTGCATCTGTGGTAGGAATCTGTAGAATGAGCTACTATTTCAAGGAGCAGTTGCATGCGGGAGAAACATGTCCTTTTGATGGCTAAATGGCCTACCTGTTGTGTTATTTATTTGATTTGAGAAGCGTGATTCTTGTAAATATTGTGAGCATGCCACTTAGTACTTCTAATTTACATTTCTAAACTTACATAAATTTAATTTGTTTATAGCCTGAATCTCAATCTGATGGAAGGTATATTTAATCCTCATCAAAGTCCAGGTCCTCGTGTATGGGCATGTTAAAGTCACTATAGTCCCAGAGGACCACTAGACAGTTCATACTCTCTCACGTGCTAGAGAGAAATGAGTAGTGGTGAGTTTAACCTGATTGTCACCATGCCTCCAGGCAAGGGGTGAAGTTGAGAAAGTGGGAACTTCATGGTAACCTCAGCAGGTGAGGGAATTGAACCTGTGCTGCTGGATCACACTTGACAAAATGCCCATTTTATTATTGAGGCATTGTGTACTGTAGTTTCACCAAAATAGTGCAACAACTGCATTTGTTGGTATTTCCAAACTGAATTTTTAAAGAAATTAATATTTGGCATTTGTGTATTGTTGTTACACATGAAAACAGTGCAGAATTTTTTTGCAAAGTTACTTTGAAATTTTTAAAAAAAACTGCCATATTTTACACGATCGTTGGCCCACAAATGGCAACATGCTTGAAGTTAATGTAATATTGGTTGGAGGGAAAGCCTTAACAAAGGCAAGAGGAGGGTAAAATAATTTTTAAATATCTTAATTTGAATCTTTTTAATGTTTGACAGTATCGACATTGATTGATTGTCTCATCTCAAGGATGGCACTCTGACAAGACAAAATTACTTATGCATAGTGATAGAACAGTACTGCACAGTACAGGCCCTTTGGCCCACGATGTTGTGCAGATCTATTATCCTAATAAGATCAATCTACCCTGCCTGCCCTATGTGTAGGAGCTGCACAAAATGTTGTCAACTAAATCTTTTGTGAATTCAAACTTATTTTTGCAGTGAACCTGAGAATGGCTGGCTTTCATTTATTGTTATGATGTTGGGGCTAATTGCTGATTTTCAAAATACCGTTCTGCATGCTTTATGCCTTGATTCTATCACCATGGTTGAATATTTACTTTCATGTGTAATGTACTAATCCATTGAAAGAAAACCTATTAGGTTTATGTTTGTCTCTTGAATTGTGCAACCTACTGCCAGTGACATCGGTCATTAGGAAAGGTTGTGAAAAGTATTTTGTTTAATAATGCTTGTCTGGATGAAATAGTACAAAAGAGCTATAACAGAATGATAATTGAATAATGTTGATGAAAATGGATAAGCTTGCAAAAGGCTTGAAGCAATTTGTTGTGGTTTGAAATGGAAGTGGTAGAAACAATCAGATCTAGCCAAATCCATGGAGGACTAACAGTTGACTATTCGGGGCATTGACCTTTTCTGTCACAGCTTGGATGGTTGGCATGTATAATTGACAAAGATAAATAGTCTAAGTTTCCAACATGAGAGCAGATTACTGTGATTTCCTTCATTTTTTTAAAAAAAAAAGACAATATGATGGCAGTGTTAGATTGTAATAAGGCCTCTGGGGTTATTTTGATTTTTAGTTTTAACATCTAAACATACCCAATTAGAAGATGTCCGAGATGGCAAGAACTGCCGATGCTGGAGTCAGAGACAATACAGTGTGGAGCTGGAGGATCACAGCAGGCCAGGTGGCATCAGAGGAACAGGAAAGTTGACATTTTGGGTCGGGACCCTTCTTCAGAAACCCATTTCCAAAGAAGGGACCCAACCTGAAAAGTCAAATCTCCTGTTCCCCTGCTGCCTGGCCTGCTCTGTTTCTCCAGCTTCACACTGTTATCTGAATTAGAAGATGTACCCTCCATTTGTGATACATGTTCTAACCAAAACATGACTATTTTTCTGGTGCTATTTATGATGTTTTTTGTTTTTAAGAGCTCATCAATGCAACTACTTTATCCCAGCTCTGACTGTATTCTTTGTTTTGGGAGGATATTAAGTCATCAGCCACTAGCTGATGTCACCATCAGTTCGTACTAGTCTCGGGTTTTCCTATTATATGGATGATCTCTGTGGTTTGGTATTTACTTGGATTTAATATTCCAGTTACAGCTGAGAGGGGAAAAGATAAATGCCATCTGACTCAGATTTGTGTGTACCAAAATAACCTCTCTCTGCATTTTCTAACAGTCTCTATGGCAACATTTAAAGATCCCTGTAGGTTAGGAATAATTAATTATTTTGTTACGTAATATCACTAAATCAAGAAGATTTGAGGCTGAAGGTATGATTTCTGTAAAATATTCTTTTGTTGCTGTGGTTGGATAGCCATAACGAATCTTTAAAATTTTGCTCTTGGCATAATTCTGTATTTAAGTTACTTTTCAATTGATAAATAAGATCTATTTACGGGTTTAATATAAACGTGAAACTTACATGCAAGTGGTGGAAATAGCATGCTGCAAAGAACTCAAAATTCCACAACCAGAAAATCAGGTCAAAGTTTAGTAATTCTTCCAAATCCAGTTGCAAACGTTGATAAGCAGCTGAAGCAAAGGCCTCATGATCACCTCCATCTCCATGTTCAATCATGGAAGCATCCAGTACGTGAGTGCAAAAGGAAATGTTGAAGTATTGATTATTCCTCTTCAGCTGGGTGCACTATTAGTTTTGGCTTTTTGAGGTCCACAACATAACAAATGTTAGTTTTGAGCCAATTGGATTTTCTCCACCTGATTGTCAAGAATGACTGCATGCATTGGAACATTTGGGTGGAGCATGGTGGGAAGTGTTTAAACTTTAGTGTCTCTTTTTTTTTTAAGAAAAAACATTTTTCACAGGCTAATTTTGGAGCAGGAATAGCTTTCAAAGATCTGTCCACTAGACCATGCCAACCATTTTTAGAACTGGTTTTGAAGGTCTTGGTAGAACTCCCCTTCTACCTTGGAGCTTGTGACTGCAAAATCTTTTTATGCTGGGGGTCGAAACCTAGAATTTGGGAAACCATGCTCTCAAGTTTGGATTAGAAGAATGAGAGGTGATCTTGTTGAAGCATGCAAAATTCTTGAGGCTTGGTAGGGAAGATTAGAAGAAGGAGATTTTCCCCTGTCTGGATTGAAGAGTTTATTTAGTATTGAGAAAGAGCAAGCTGTTCATTCAGGGAGGTAAATCTTGGGAATTTTCTACTTCTGAGGTATAAAGGTACTCTTCCTTGAGCTCTGGGAAGAGATTTCTGGATACTTAAAGGTATCGATTTTATATATGGGTGTTAGTGCAGGAAAATGGCAGAACTAATTTGTCAGAAATGGTCCAACTCGTCCATGCCAACCAGATATTCTAAATTAATCTAGTTCCATATGCCAGCATTTGGCCTATATCCCTCTAAACCCTTTCTATTTATATACTCATCCAGATGCCTTTTTAAATGTTGTAATTATTTAGGAGATCCAAAAGAATTGCAACACAAAAGGAGGCTGTTTTGCCTCATTGTCTCCACAGGGTCAGCAAAGATCAGACTATACTAATTCCATTTTCCAACTTCTGGTCCATAGTTCTGGAGACTATGGCAATGCAAGTGAATGTCTAAGTACTCTTTAAATGAGCTATTGATTTGAACTTTGAGATAGTAAGAACTGCCGATGCTGGAGTCGGAGATAACAGTGCGGAGCTGGAGGAACACAGCAGGCCAGGCAGCATCAGAGGAGCAGGAACATTGACGTTTCGGGTCAGGACCCTTCTTCAGAATTAGTGATTTGAACTAGCCTTTTTGGGCAGTGATTTCCAGATTCCCACCACCCTCAATGGAAAAGTATTTTCCTCAACTCTCCTGTTAGCCTTTTAGCTCATAGCTTAGATTTATGCCCTCTGGTTATTGACCACTCTACTAATGGTAAATGGGCTTTCTATCCATCGTGCTAATGTTCTTCATAAACTTGTGCATCTTTTAAAGGTTGAGGGTAGCACCTGATAGTCCTCGAAGGAAAACAAAAGTAGTCTTTGCACATAGCTGAAGCCCTCTAGCCCACGCAACATCTTGGCATGGCTAGTGTCCTGAATGATGGAGCAGGCTGAACAGGCTAAATGGCTGCTTCTTATGTTTGTAGATGGGAATAGAAATGGTTTTTATCACTAAAACTCCATCTTCTAAACTCTCAATCTGAGTCTTAAAAGCTGATTTGGACTAACTAGGTCAGTGTACTTCCTTTAGGTTTGACATTTTTATTGTATTTTTCTTCTTAATTGCTATTCAGCCAATTGAGTCTGTGTGCATCAAAACCTTGTTTTTGACTCTGCATCCCTTAGTGGCCAGTAATGTTAGAGTATTTTGTGGCTAGACAAAAATACATATTATCAAGTACGTGTCCCGTTTGCCATCATCATTTAAGGGAGAGCTTCAGACCGTACTTTCATAAGCTTTTCTTTGTTAGCTGATGGTTTAGTGTAATTTATGGCAGGTGCAAGCTTCTGAGAACATTCATACATCTGTCTGTTGCTTGGGCACATGTATCCAATTGTGATAGCAGGATTGAAAACTGGTGAGCATTAGACGATAGTGACAATGGGGGCTATTTGGCATGTTGTGAAGGATTAGCAAAGCAAAATGACAATCCTAGGCTAATTTATGCTCTTTCCTTAACAGAGCTGGACTAGAAGATGTTGAAGGGGATTTTGCTGAATTGGAGTCAAAGCTGGACAAGGTGTGTATCATCACATTTATATAGTGATAGTATTTCTTATTATTTATGTGGGCCATCTGCCAACACCTTGGTGCTTGATTTGTGACACAAGTGGTACATGATTTGAGGAAATGTCAGTGGTTAAGTAAGAAACTTACTCTTTCTGCAAGGAAGTTTGCAAGTGTCGGGACTTGTGCCACAGTAATGCCAACAAGTTCTAGGAAATAATGTGCCAAGGATCCTTTGCTCTCATAACAGCAGGAAATATTTTGAGGTAGATATGTATCATGTTAAAATGTCAGTACGGACCCATTCAGAAACATACGTTCTTCAAGATGATGTTAAGGATTTCAAAAGATTTTACGTAGATTGTCCAGTTACTGTGGTTGGTTCGCTCGGACCAACCAATCTATTCAAGAACTTTAGACGTTGTCCAGTTAGTTTCTTTTTTAAAAATGGAAATACTCTTTGGCCTTTTAATTTAAATAATTGCCTGATTTGGTTGTGCATATTCGCAACCAACATGATTTGAGAAGACTGTGATATGGTGGTAACATCATTGGACTAATGCTCTGGGGACCGAGTTTCAATTCCCATCATAGCAGCTTTGGGAACTTGATGTCAAATAATAAAAGTGAATTAAAAGCTAGTTTCAGTAATTGTGACCAAAAAAAAATTGGTTGTTGTAAAAACATTTTTGCTGTTGCTCTTCAGGAAAGGAAATCTCTAGTCATTCCCTTGACTAGCTTATGTGTGGTATGCGTGAGTAACAGCAATGTGGTTGACTCTTGACTGGCCTCTGAAATGGTCTTGCAAACCAGTCAGTTGTGTCAGACTTTTTTTTTTGCCTGAGGTCAGAAAGAACGAAACCAGTCAGACCATGTGGTATCAACTTGCGCACCAGAAATGATAATGACACACCCACCCCTGCCAACACTTCTCACTAATACCTGTGAGCCTATGCCAAAATTGGGAGAGCTGTCCTGCAAATGGGTCAAGCAGCAAACATAGTTATGCTTACCAATTTATGCCTCATAGTACCGTCAGCATTCATGATAATATCCAGTGCCAAATACCAGAGGTTAAAATGCTAATTGACCAAGCCCAGTCATCTAGTTCTTTGGTTGGAATTTTATTTCCCATTGAGGCATCACAAACTCCAACCATAATTACTGGTTTTATCATATTTTTGCACCCATTTCTTGCTCAACTAACCCTTGAAAATATTCATCACTTGTTCTCTAGCTCCCATTTGGTTTCAGGCATCCCTTTCAGATTAGCTTCCACCTTTTTTAAATGAGACAATATACACAAAAATAACGAAAATAAAACAAGAAATATAAAGTGACAACACTTGTATTCTTATTTCTCTTTTTAACTGCACATTACCGTTCCAAACATTCCTTTGCCAGTCTTTCTAGGAGTTTTAGACTTGCTCCTTTCTTCTTAAAGCTGTCAAATAGCTGACTGCTGCTGTCCACCCATTTCAATTTGAAGAATTCTCAGTTCTACAGCATCTGCTTTAAAACTCCAATGTTGTCCTTACCTTTTTTTTAAATTCATGCATTTTAAGAAGTCCCTATGGGACATTGTATGTTATCGACACATCCCAATGATGGAAATTTCAAAACTTTATGCTCCAGTTTTAATTTTTTTTTGTGCTTTGTTTTGGAATAATATCTTCCACCTAGACAGTTTTTTTTTTTTCGTAGTTTTAATCAATTGGAAGATCTAGAAAGTGGCATTTTGGCATTGTTTGGCTACCCAGCCAATTAAGCTGTCAAATTGGATTTTCAGATGGTTTTGAGGTATCTCAAATGAAGCTACTGAATAAGAACCCATGGTTGGAGGTGGTGTATCAACTTGGAAAGAAGATTAGAACGTTTTCAGGATGGTGACCTGTAACTACTAATGGGCCACAGATCAATTCTGGGGGTATAATTGTTAATGACCTGGATGAGGAAAATGAATAAAATAATAGCCAGCTTTGCTGATGTGCAAAAATACTGGCATTGAAGGCAGCCCAGAGAAGGTTCAGTTGGCTGGTAACTGGTATGGAGGGCCTGACCTAAAGAGGATAGATTGGGTCTGTACTCATTGGAATAGAAAAGTATAAGAGGCAACCTTACAGAAATATACAGGATTCTTAGAGTATTTGACAAGGTAGATGTGGAAAGGTTGAATTCTCCTTTCTTTGGGTGAATTTTGGGACCAAGGGATTGCACATTTAAGACATATGACTAAGAACATCCTCTCTGAGAGTAGTCTGGGTCGTTAAAGTATATTCAAAGCTGAGAGACAGATCCTTAGTCTGTCGGGGAATCAAGAGTTGTATGGAAATGCCATGAGCCATGATCTCGATACAGAGCAGACTCAATGGGCTACTTGTGCTTCTGTGTGGTATGTTCTTACATGAGGCCCTGTTTTGACTAACTGCAGTTAGTTAACGTTTTCCAGATTGTTGATGCCATTTTGCTTAGTTTCTAATACATGTACTTGAACTCCCCAAAAATCTGAAATTTTAATTGTAAATTCTGCTTTAAGCCCATTTTTATGACAATGTGTGTTTTTAAATTCCTTCTATAACTTGTGATCTCTTTCTGGGGGGTGGGGAGAAGTGGCATGTTCTCTCCCAGAGCCACTCTTTGAGCTTGTACTGTATTTTTCTGCCCCTCATTATGGGCCAGACCAGACCCGCTCAAAATGTTAAGGTAACCTACACCCTAACTTTTTCTTAAAGGCTAAAGTGCTGTGTTCCAGATGCAATTCGACAGGTCAAACCACAAAACATTAAGCAAAACCCAATTTATTCAAACACTGTGGACTAAATACAACAAAGAAGAACTTTAGAATAACTTCACAGAATAATAGATATAGTAACTACGACTAATTGGATATTCCAATATGGTAATAACCCATAAACACATCCCCTTGGCAAAAAAGAAAATCTGACTTCTGATTTTGTCCACATGCAAACGCTCGCAGTAGGAAGAGAAACCCCAGCTTCTAACTATAACTGAGAGGGGTTGGGGGCTGGAGGAGAGTAGCTTTTACTTCAAAACTCCAGCAGCTTCTGGTGAATTTAAAAGCTTAAAGACAACCTAGAAGTCCTGGTCTGAGAGCTGGCCAGACCTATTTAGGCTGCTTCTATTTTTCTAACTTTTCTTTTATTTAAAGAAAAGAACAAACGCAAACCCAAACCCAACCACTGTTCAGCACCTCTTGTTCAATTTCTCTCCTTTAAAAGAAACCAAGACAAAATACACTTCTGAAAGCCACAGCATTGTCATACCTCCCCTCTCTTTTCTAAAAAACACCAATTTACAAAGATGCTTTCATCTTTGAAAACTCTAAGTCTTGAGTTATTTGTACACTACAATATGTTGTTTGCATGTTTAGAATCATTCACTACTATAGTCTATTTCAGTCCATCAATTCGCGCCACTTGAACGCCTTCATCTGTCTTCAAAGTTGTAACAATGTTTTGGCAATTACATTCTTTTGTCCTGAAACATGCATAATTTTCAAAGTGAATGGCTGCAATAATAAGCTCCATTTAAACAACAGTCTGGAATTTTTGTCTTTAAATTTCTCAAAACTTTAGGGGGTCATGATCAGTATATACAGTTGTCTCAGACATGTAACATGTCAACATTTATATTGCCAGTAGTAATGCCAACACCAAGCTCAAGGTTTCCTTCTCAATTGTGGAATATTTCCATTGATTTAGTTTAGTGGAAAAATAACCAATAGGTCTTTCCATCTTCTTGTTGTCGTATTGTAAGAGTACTGACACCCACATCACTCGCATCAGTTGCCACCTTGGATGGCTTTGTGTAATTAGGTGTTACTAGCATTCAGGTAGTGATTAATGTAGCTTTCAGGCTATCAGATGCCGTTTGACAGTCTCCTGTCCACTGAAATTTCTGCAATTCTTCAATAAGGCAACAAATGGAGCGATCGCACTGCTAAAATTCGGTACAAGCTTCCGATTAAAACCCACTCAATCCTAGGAATTATAGTACTGCCCTCTTCTTCAATGGTATGTGAAACTTCCCCAAAAACCTTTTTTTTGTTTTCACATTCCATAAGACTATCTGTTCGTGTACAGTGACATGGCCCAGGAATGTGACTTCAGCTTTTGCGAACTCGTTCTTAGCCAGGTTTATTACCAAGCCTCGGAGATAGTAGGAACTGCCGATGCTGGAGAATCTGAGATAACAAGGTGTAGAGCTGGATGAACACAGCAGGCCATGCAGCATCAGACGAGCAGGAAAGCTGACATTTTGGGTCTGGACCCTTCTTCCCAAATTTTCAGAAATAGACCCAAAATGTCAGCTTTCCTGCTCGTCTGATGCTGCCTGGCCTGCTGTGTTCATCCAGCTCTACACCTTGCTTTCCTTATTACCAAGCCTGTTTCCTGAAGTCGGTTGAACAATTCCGACATGCTGGAAATGTTCTTCGTGTGTGATTAAAAATCATCAGGTCGAGGATGTACACTACAAATTTGAGTAATCCCGAAATGACTTTGTTAGTTAGTCTTTGAAAGCCACTGAATTTTTCATGTCAAATGGCATGACTTTAAATTGGTATAGTCCATTCAGTGTCATGAAAGCTGAAATTGTTTTTGCTCCTTTGGATAAAAGTACCTGCCATGTCCTCTGAGTAAGTCCAATGTTATATTTCTAAATTTCTAAGTTGCTTGTCTCACCTTATCAATGCAGTCTTCCAAATATGGAATAGGATAAGAACCAGTTTTTGTAACTGCATTGACTTTGTGATAGTCCACACACAATCATCAGTTCCAAAACCACATGGCACCCATTTAATATGATGAGCTCTAGTTACTGCAACTCCCGTCAATTGTATTGTCTTTGGAAGTGTCCTCAAACAATTCTTGAACCTAACCCTCTAATTTTGGGACAAGTCTATAAGGATGTTGCTTAATTGGAACAGCATTTCCCACATCTACATGTGTAAATAGATTAGTACTTCCCAGCATATTCCCAGGTATCTCCCTG